GGGCCTGGACATGTGCTGGCTTGAGCAGAGGGACTTTGCATGCGCTGCAGGATTTTAAGCCATGACAGTGTAGTGTGTTACTAATGGTAACCGTGGAGACTGCAGTCCCAGCTCTCTTCAGGTCATTGACCAGGTCCTCCCGTGTAGTTCTAGGCTGATCCCTCACCTTTCTCAGGATCATTGATAGTCCACGAGGCGAGATCTTGGATGGAGGCCCAGGAGATTGACAGCCATCTGGAATTTTTTCCATTTTCTAATAATTGCACCAACAGTTGTTGCCTTCTCACCAAGCTGTTTGCCTATTGTCCTGTAGCCCATCCCAGCCTTGTGCAGGTCTACAATTTTGTCCCTAGTGTCCTTAGACAGCTCTTTGGTTTTGCCCAAGGTGGAGAAGTTGGAGTCTGATAGCCTGAGTGTGTGGACAGGTGTCTTTTATACAGGTAATGAGTTCAAACAGGTGCAATTAATTTAGGCAATGAGTGGAGGATAGGAGGGCTTCTTAAAGATAAACTAACAGGTCTGTGAGAGCCAGAATCCTTGCTGGTTGGTAGGTGATCATATACTTATTTCATGCTATAAAATGGAAATAAATTATTTAAAAATGTAACTGTGATTTTCTGGAATTTTTTTTGTAGATTCTGTTTCTCACAGTTGAGGTGTACCTACGATGAAAATTACAGATCTGTCCATTCTTTGTAAGTGGGAAAACTTGAAAAGTCGGCGGTGTATCAAATACTTATTTGCCCCACTGTATATGTTACTGGAAGATGTACCCTTTGTAAAAATACTCATGTCTTGTAATCTCATGTGGGATGGGCCAAATAAATAAAATAAAACTAAGCAATTAACTAAACACACACACACCACAGGGTTAGAACCAGGGTTTCCGAGGAAAAATTACATTTTGCACTAATGTAGAGCAGCTGTAAATTACTATTGGCATCAGGCCTGTACCTCATAAAAAATAAATTATCCTTTCAACACACCCACCAACACTCAGTGGAATAAAAAATGTGCTTGAATTCATTTTTTCAAGCATACAGTGATACCTTATAATCAGTGACGTGTGGTCAGGGGAGGCAGGTGAGGCAGAGCCTCCCCTGACAATCTTGAAAAGAAACAAAAAGTTAACCATAAAATATAATAAATGTTAATATTTGTCGGCTGGTGTGTGTTGTAGGCCCCTTTGCCGTTGGAATCCAATGTTGAATGATTTTTTTTCAATAAAGAATAGCAGAATTTCCGTATGTCCCGTTCAAATACATGGAGGAGATGCGCGATAAGGTAGCACTTTGCTGTGCCTCTCGGTGGATCGTGTAATCCTCACAAAGTATATGCGATGAAAATAGTGTGTCGCTGTCCCTCTATATATCGCAAATAAAATGCTTTCAAACACTCTGATTATATGCTCTGCCTTGCCATAATCTGGATAATGTATAAAATGTAGTTCTGTAACGTGTTTAGGCTCGCAGATTAACCATAAAACCCAGTAAAAAAGTTACTC